TCCCCAAAAATAATAAAAATGAAAAAAAAAAAAAAAAAAAAAGAGAAAGGGAAGAGAAGGAAAAACGGCCGGAAAGAAAGGAATAGAAATAGGGAGAAAGAAAATTATAGAGAGAGGAGGAAAGTTCTAGAGAGAGAGAAGGAGGTAGCCGCCGCTCCGGCCACGAGGAGTCCGGTTCCGGCCGAGCCTTCTTCATGAAATCTTCACAGAACTTAGAAGAGAACATTCTTAACTTTTAGATCATCGAAAACCATCAAGAAATGAGGAAAAATCTAAAGGTAAAGTTCTTGAATCCAGATTCTCGAAATTGCTTCAGATCTCTGAGATATAGTAAGAGTTAGAGCCTGAAATTTGAGTATGTTAATCTACAGAGGATTACGCTCAAAACCTGAGAAGGAAGTTGTAATCGATTCAGATCGGAAATGGGAGTTTCGGCGTTCGTCAAAGAGGTAGGTATTGATGTTTCTTGCCATTTTCGGACTAAGGTAATTATCCCGGGGATTAGAAATAAATTACAAGAAAAATACCTGCCTAAAGATGAATATACGCTCTACAAATCTCGTGAAAGAACCATGTTGATCCGAGTTAGGTAGAACGAAATGTGAAAATGTAAAGAAAATGGAACAAAGTAATCGAATGCTGGAAATCGCAGGAGAAAGGAGGAGGCTGCGCTTCGCCGGAGGAGAAGGGCCACGTGTCAAGCGTCCATTGGAGAAGAAAAAAAAATCAAAGAAATACTTCGCGTCGGGCGGGATTCGATGGCCGGCGGCCCGCTACTCGAGTTCGCGACCCGATGACCCGCGCGCAACCCGGACCACCGACCCGGCTTCTCGTTGCCACGCGTCAGCGTAAAAGAATTCGAATTTCCAGCGCGTCCTTCCGGTTTCGAACCGACGACCTCGACCTCGGCTGACCGTTCATCGGGGCGCCACGTGGCAACACCTCAGCGCGCGTCTCCCCTCCCTCATGCGCGTCCGTACGCGCGCGTGGCCGTGCGCGTGTAGCTCCTTCCCAGGCGCGTGTGAGCGCGTGAGGGTTTAAATGAGAAAATTCAGTATTTGTGGACACTCTACTGGTGTAGAAATGCTCAACGAAGAACACGCGTCAATCGGGTAAGTCACCACCTGGAACTTTAGGAAGAAATACTTGCAGGAGTCGCTTGGTTATGCATGCATGCTAGTTTAATTACCTTAGGTGGTATTTTTCCATGATTGAATGTAAGTAATTTGATTGTTAAGAGTATGGATGTATTATGTGAAATATTACGAAAATTATCTGAGTGTTGCTATTATGTTCTAAGCTTCCGCTTTATATGTAAATGTTTAATTCATGCTGAAAGGAGAATAGGAACTTGTGAACTCTGCGCTCCGGGATTTGACGGATGTCATGGCCCCGTTGAGCATGTATGTTTATTTTGCATGATGATGCTGGATGATAGTTGTGTGCACACTCAGTTAATTTCCACGTCCCACGAGAATGATAAAGTCTAGGGATATGTGGTTAGAGTAACAAGACACTAAGGTATAAGACCTAACATTCCCCAGTAGGCTAACAGACCACCACGGCATACGAGCCACCTCTAGAGTACCCTTAGGCTACTTGTGTGTGGATGGTGATATAGCTTCGTGGGGGACCAGCGGGTTCCTGATCAGGACTCGACTGCTCGATAGCCGTTTAGTATGGGAAACGGGATACCCACGTCGTAATTGACCGTTTAGCTGGATGGAATAGGGGAGGTAGCCCTCCCAAATACAGGGGGATTACCATGGGGCTAGGGGGTTGCAGCTCACTTCCTAGGCAAGACCCCAAGTAATCTCATACCCATGCCGAGGTAGCCACTCGCAAGGCACCAGTCCGACACGGGTTAGCATAAAAGGAACTCTAGGGGTATAAATAGAAGATCTAAGAACCAAAGAAGCCCGAAGGGGGCAAGTCCCTAGGGGGAAGCCCTAATGAGCTAAGACCAGAATCAGATGATCTAGAGCCAAAGGAAAGTCCGTGGTTGTTTGTTAAGTTTAGGGTGCGACGAGAGCCTACAAGTAGGTGGCTTACTGAGTATAATTTTTATACTCATTCCT